TGAGCACATTAGCCCATAGTCTCACTGTCATCCACTTGGCACAAAGTAGGTTGGCCTCAAACGCCTTGACCACTTGAAACTCTCCCTTGGAAGCAACAAAGCGGTCGCCGGACTACGGCCCCACACCCGGCCAGCGGTGTGACAAGTGCTCATCAAATCATTGATTTGGCACCCAAGCACTTGCTGGGTAGGGCTTAACATCACGAAGTGATCTTCAAGAAAACAGCACTCTCGCAAAGCCACCTCAAACAACGAAAACCTATGCAGATGCATAAAGTCATATAAAGACTGATTGTTGTGAACTCACTGACAAGCTGCAGGCAGCTTTGTCTATCAGTTCCTTGTCCATAACTGGCAGAAGAGTTGTACAGTGACATGATCCAAAGGTGTTTCCAATAGTCAATAAGAGCCCTTGAGCACACTTTCATAAAACTTACAGCATGCCTTTACACAAGAAAGGCGTGGCCATGAATCAAAGTAGGATGAATCTCAAAATGTGTAGAGACACAGTCTTGCTTTCAGAATGTGTCGGCTTGCTCTTTCAATCTTCGTAACATGCCGGCCAAATAGAAAGTTCACTGTAAGGGATCTTCATTTGCAGTTCTGGAATAGGAGCTGCAATCACGGTCAGCAAATCAGGCTAAACACAAAAAGTTAAAGTGACACCACAAGTTCAAAGTGTTCCGAAACCACCTTTCAATCAATTTGAATCAATTTGCCAGAAGCGTCATGTCATGTCAAAACTGCCTGCATATATACATGCGAAGGCACCTGGCAGCTTGGCTTGCAGCTCTCATCCCATTTGTGATGAACACACTCGTGCAACGCCAGTTGCATGGCCTTCCCTGTATGTAGTCCGGGGTTGGTGGGTACAGCCATCAGCCATCAAACACACCAACAGGCGCCCAGTGAGCACATTAGCCCATAGTCTCACTGTCATCCACTTGGCACAAAGTGGGTTGGCCTCAAACGCCTTGACCACTTGAAACTCTCCCTTGGAAGCAACAAAGCGGTCGCCGGACTACGGCCCCACACCCGGCCAGCGGTGTGACAAGTGCTCATCAAATCATTGATTTGGCACCCAAGCACTTGCTGGGTAGGGCTTAACATCACGAAGTGATCTTCAAGAAAACAGCACTCTCGCAAAGCCACCTCAAACAACGAAAACCTATGCTGATGCATAAAGTCATATAAAGACTAATTGTTGTGAACTCACTCACAACCTGCAGGCAATTTTGCCTATCAGTTCCTTGTCCATAATTGGCAGAAGAGTTGTACAGTGATAAGTGATAACTACTTCCAATGCCCTTGTTACTAGTAACTTCTGGTTCCTAGTAGTAATGCCAGGAGCTACTAGTAGTTTCTAGCTGCTAATAGCGATGCACCTTGGTACTATAGTAGCTTCTAGCTACTATATATAGTAGTAATGCCATTGTTACTACTTGAGAGGAACCTGTACTTTCAGGCCCTTGAGTGCAGATTCAGCACTGTAATTACACGTAAGACGTGGCGAACGCAAACCCACAGACCCACATTCATAAAGGCTCTTCCTTTTCGCATGAAAAGGAACACTGCAATGGTGTTGAACAATTGGGCAATCAACAATATCAACAAGTTTAATGTGAAGCACACATACTGAATGGTGTCGAAGCTCGTGAGCACATTAGCAAATCGTCTCACTGTCATCCGCTTGGCATAAAGTATCTAGCAACATGACATTGGAAGCAACAAAGCCGGTCTACAGATAACATACTAAGGACATCAACTCCCCGCGGTGTGACGTTCTTTGGCACCAAAGTACGTACTTGGCCCCGCGCAGGGCCGCAGGGTGGCCTGGTTTAAGAACGCTCAGCGTCCCTCTGAGCCATCTCAACAAGGCAACGTTGCATGAAGACGGATGTGTTGCCACTTGCAACATGCAACTCTGCCAGCCTTAGTTCTTTTTTGAATGGATCTAGGGAGTGGTTTTCCTGGCTCCCTTGAGTACAAGTAAGCCATGTTTCTGTATGTTACACTGCAGACTCGTTTGTAGGCGACTAGGATCTTGCTTCCAGCCCAGCAAAATGTATTAGTTCAAAGCAAACAGTCACTAGTAGGGCAGGCTGGCACACAGCAGTCATGACAAGCAGTTTCGTTCGAAGACAACCTCCCATCACGCCAGTCTTTGCTCGTTCGGAAAAAGAACCCCCCCTGGCCTGAATCTGGAGTGAGAAATTATGTTTTTCTCACGTGAGAAAATTTATTACCAAAACAAATCCAGTCATATCAACCGCATCTTGAGTGGATCGCCGCGCAACACTTCCCTTGCGGTGGCGGTTTGAGCGGTTGGCGGGGCCTGGAACTGCTTCCGGTTGGCTGGGCCGAAGATCTTTTTGTGTAAGTCAGCGTCCCGTGCCAGGAAGAGGTCCATGAGTGCCTGTGGATCCCCACACGGCATGAGGAAACACAGGGGAAACCAAAAGATCCACGCACCACTTGGAGAACCGGGCGCAAGCACCACCGCCCAGTTCGAGTTTGTTCGGGAACACGCGAAGAAGCAAGGGATTGGACATTGGATCATGTGAACATGGCAAAAAGGGAATTTGTGGGGGTCTTGAATGGGAAGATGCGACCAAAATTATGTAGAATCAACAAACTGGTTTGCACAAGGCTCTTGAGATGGCAATATGCACACAGGTTAGCATGCTTTTTGTATGTGGAATATTGTGGAATGCCCTTCCTCGCTGTGAGCAAGTGCGTGGCACTCCGCTCTGTTCCATGCTTGGAAATTGGACCTGAAGGAACTAGTGGATTCTCACTTCATCTCACTTCTGCTACAATGACATGATGGAGATCAAGGCGCTTAGTGATCCCTAGAGCTCGGCTTGATTTATTCATTCATGAACCAAAACGGGTTTCCTTCAAAGTGATTAACTAAAAAGAAACTTCAAGGACTTCGACCTCCGTCCAAATAAAGGGCACAGGATCTCTTTGTGACCAAATCGCAAAGATCCAAAACACCCTGCACAAAAAGTCCTCAAAACCGCAAACACCCCACACCCCCATATACCCAAACACTCCATGTACATACTTATACCTACCTTCAGCCCAAATCAACCAATGTACATATTCCAGTCCCATGGATATGTTTTGGTTTGTTCATTGTTAATTGTTTTGTTTTTCTGATTAACCGTGCGATAAAAAACAATTCCATGTGCGAAACCGCTTTGAAATGATGAAACCGCGCACGTCGCTCCTCGTGCCCTGTGAAATCGCTTTACCCCGTGATACCACGTGTGCAGAACCGCTTAGCTCCCCGGGAGCTTAGCACCCGCTCCGCCTGCAAAGGTACGACGTTGAAGTTGTTTCGCGCAGGAAGATCAGTCGTTGGCATCTCTCGACTGACCTGGGCCGGTCTTGCAGGTTTCTTCTTTTTTCACAGGTGAGGGGGTTTTGCGAAGACAGATTCTGGAAGTAACGGGTGGGCCGCGGATCTATGTCGCAGGTACTTGATAGATCCAAATGAGCCACTCTAAAAACCTGGAATCACTCCCTATGTCGGATCACTTTCCTTGCGCGAGGCCTGACGCGCTGCTTACGCGGCCCTCACTTTTGCTTACGCAGAGCAAACTTCCGAAATGCTTACGCGAAATGCTGACGCAATCTTACGCAACCCAGGGTATTGCTTACGCGGAATTCGATATGACAAGGTCCTTACTTAAGATGTAAAGGCCTGTTTTTAGAGCGGCTCAAATGACGTTCCTATATGGGAGTCTGAACCCCAAAGCCTTGCGATCTGGAGGTATCTGAACCTGGGTGTGGATGACATGACACAACTCAGGATATACCAAGTATACCTGCATGTTGGATCTGAACCACTGAACTCTGAGTTCATCATAATTCATCTATTTCGCGGGACACAAGCGCAACAGAATGTCATGGCAAGGATCAGTACCGGTTGGAAACAAACAAAGATTTGTCCAGCTTGCATGTTCTGAAATCCAAGCAATGTTGCCTGTACATTGCAATTTGACAATACCTTTGTTGATTTTCGATGAGCGTGGTAAACAACCTCGGCTTGGACTCATGTGGCTTTGTGAAAAACAACACCTCAAGCCTCAAGCCACCCGGATGCACAAGCAAAATTTCCTTGAAACAAACAGCAATGCTGGCTTCAGCAAAGAAGAACCAGCCAATACCAGTCATATCTTCATTGTTTTCCACGTCATAACGGTCATAACGCAGTACCCGGCGTACCCAGGTAACACAGCGGGAATGGACAGGGCCCTGAAAGGAAGTGGTCGGATTGCCTCAGGGCCCTGATTCCTCGGGCATGGGCTTTTTGTGCAAAACCTGTTAGAGCACGGGCCGCTCTTTGTCCCAGCCAGGCGATACTGTGCGTGCCATCTATACCTGTAGGAACAGACCGGGGCGATACTGTGTATCCTGCACATTCCACACTGTGTCACTGTATCATCGGAAAAGATTCAGAGCGTGAGATGTTCTATATAAGCGTTCTGTATGGGTGTTCTGGCGTGTCGAAACAACCCGGGACCAAAAATGAAGGCTTTAGTGTTCTGGTCGTTTTTCGAGGTGTCTGGGGCCTGCGTACAACACCACAAACCAGAAAAACAAACATGGTTATACATGGTTATACTATTTAGTTGACAATTCATAAACTAAGTTGTTCATGGGGCGGGCAGAGCACCTGCCAAACTTGGGATGTTTTTTCTTCAACATGTGACCATGTGCCTATATAGTTATACCAAATATGTGCAAATAGTGTCAAACCAATGTCAAACCTAGCTCCACTACGTAGTCAAGCAAAAAGGCCTTCAACGTAGACAACCAAAACCCCAAAATCGAAAGCAGTGACAACTGGTCTCAAGCTGGGTGGGGAACCCGTGGGGAACCCAAACACTCCAAACTGGGCAAAACCAAAAACTCAGAAGACTTAGTTATGCTGATGCAACCATCCACCCTGATGTTCCTAGCCTGGCACTTGGTCCGACTCAACATATCTAGCAAACGCTTTCTTCTCAAGGGATCTCAGGGTCCAACCACATCGACGGCTTTGACCCCATGTCCCCATGTCTGAAGGCCCCTATGTCAGGTGAGACATGGGACCCCCCAAAAACCTGGGATCTCCCCGGTCCCCACACTGGTCCTCAGAGTCAGGGAGAGAATCCTTGAGCCCGGACCGTCGGCTTTCGGCTTTCGCGCGTCCGGACGCTGCCCAGTGGCTGAGCGGGAGAATTCCGCCTCCCGGGGCCAATGCCAAATGGGCCGACCCATCTTCTGATCATTGTCCTTGTGCGTCGACAAGTGGACTCCGGGGGGTGGTGAGGTCAAATGCGGATGGGCGATGACTTCATACTGGTTCCGAACCGGACAAACACATCTGCCACAAATGCCCCTGAAAGGGGACTCTCCAGCTCGGGAGGGTTCTTCAATGGCCCAAACAGCAATGGCCCAGCTGGCACAGTGGGGCGTACTTTCCTGTAACAAATTCTGACTGCGAGTGACAGGTGGTGATCGATATGTGATTGGAGGATTCGGGATACTTTTGTCATGGTCTCACATTTGTCCAGTTTGCGTTGAGTCCCAATCCAACATAGAGTAGAGAGCCACACAAAACCTATATCAAAGAAGATAATGTCACCAAATACGGAGAGGACAGGGCAAGGAACTCAACCAATTTCACAATCGAGACCCAAGAGACTCGTCTCAGACATCAGACTGACAAACGGTGCGGATGTCTACGGCACGTTGAGGATGCGCACCGTTCGTGCCCGGCAGGAGAATGTGTCCAACAGGTGTGGAGTTTGTAACAGCATAGAAGCAAATCAATTAGCCACCTGCTCTAGATCCTTCCAGAATCCCCCTTTTGGTAGCCAAGGGAGTTTAATCCCTGTGCAGTCCGCACAACCATGATATCTCCAAGGTGAATCGATAGGCAATAATAAGGTTATCATGGACCCTTAAATTGTTGAACAAGTTGTTGTGGAACAGGGCAACAAACCTCCTCTACTAAGCTGAGGTCTTTGACTACTTCCAACCCTTGCTTTCTACGTAATTTATTACAGTACACTATGTCTATATGGAATCCTTACCTAAGGTTACCTACATTGACCCTTAAAGCATCTTAAAACCATCCATCTAGGCAGGCAAATCTTCCGGTCCCATGGATGGTTGGGGAGCGCCACCATTTCAGTTCGATGACACCAGCATCAAGGTGTGGATCTGTTCACGCGATGCCAAGGAGCCCAGAAGAAGGGAGTCGCTTGTGCAGAGTTGCCTAGGCTCAGCCCAAGTGGACCGGACGTTCCTGGACTTCGGAGGGGTCACAGGTTCTGCCGATTCACTGGACGAAGGAGGGATTGGGTTCAATTCCCGGGCCCTCCCAAATTCCTTTCAGTGGCCAATTGCCTAGTGCAGAAGGATTTCTAGAGGATTATTCAGCGACCCTCGTGAATCAATGGAGGGCCAAGCCCCTCAACGCTTGTCCAAGAACGTAGCACTCGCTAGATATCCATAGATATCCACGTCGCTGAAAGGTCAAAGGCTTTCCCAAAAGGGCATGGCCAGACCAGTGCGGGCGTTCGAGTGAGGGATCCGACCTCGCTACGATCGAGCAGCTACGATCGATGCACAACCGAGCAGCTACGATCCAACACTGCCTTGTCCTGCAAGGGCCGGACTGCATAGGAGGGCAACGGTCGCCCAATCCAAACAGGTTATCTTCGGCGTGGGGAAGTTGTTCTTTGTCAGCCCAAAGAGAAAGAGTAGTAATTGGTTTGGAATAAGATGATGCGCTTGAAAGTTCTTGAAAGACATGGTGGTAGATGGTGGTAGGTATTTTTCATGAACAATAACTCCAGCCACACAGGTGAACAAGAGGGCTCCCCAGGACATCCAGCGAATCGGCATCGGAATGATTGTTTGGATGCGATGGATATGTAAATTCAAGTAAAAACGTGGCACGTGCCGCAGTTACCCGCACCTGATGCCACCTTCTCAAAGAGCAATCAGTCCATATACAGTATATATATATATATTATATCCATGCATATATATATAATTATGTTTTAAATTGTATTAATATGTACATGTCTGTCATACCAACTTTCATGAGCAGCACCCACATCATCTGGGTGATGGTCACCACATCCTGTACGCTGCTGGTTTCTCAGAAATGATCAAGATCGCAACCTGGCCCCCGGGTTTCTCTCCTGATTCTCTTCGAGTGACCTCCATCGATGATGCTGGGCCCCACATGGAAGAACACACACACATTGGCACGTTTGTGGCCCTCTTAAAAAGCGCGCGGACGTCCGGGTCGACACCGCGGAAATGCACGAAGCACGCCGCGTCCTTTGCGTCCTTGGTCATAAACTTCAGGTCAATGTAGTCTGCCAGTTGATTGACTAAGTCATTCACTTCCTCCTGCGGAGTCAAAAGCGGGTCCGGTTTCGGTCGGTGAATCACCTGGAGAGGTCGAACACCTCTTCACACACATGGGTCGGCCCGTCATGAAGTCTCCCAAAGCAGCTATACTGTATCTATGGAATAGTTATATCCTACATTGCCTGGCATCTTGGTCTCAGAAGTGAATCTACATGAAGCTGCATGTATCTGGGTCTCCAACTACTCCATACATTGATGGATGTTCTGTGCATGGACATTTATTCTAACGATTTCCCATCACCTGTGTGGCAAGGGATTCCCAAAGATGTCGATCTTGCAAAGAGGGACTGTCTGAAACTAAGGACACAACGAATGACGCTCAATTGCAAAGTAAAATGAAGCAAACTTCAACATACGATCACGACAACCTCCTCCATCTCCGTTCTGAGCAGTAACTGTTCTTGGGAAGACACCTTTTGGGTTTAGGGCGGAGCGGACGCGTCATTGGTTTTGGCCTCAGAGTATGAGGTGAGGCCCAAGGCTTCGATGGCATCGTGCAGGTTCCTCGGAGAGTCAGTCAATGGACCGATCCGGGTGTCCAAGGGGACGCTCTAAAACTCATGAGAAGAGTGGGAATGCCAGACCGCAAAGAATTTAGCTAAAGACTGAAACTTCACAACCACCAGGGCGTGGTAGATGTTGACCACCAAGCTGACCACCAAGTATGATTCTTGAGGTGCGCCTGCCAAGTGCCTATAGTGCTTATATTTTCACCTTGAAATCACGTCCCAAGCACGAGGCAGGCCTTCCTGATCCTTGGCCACCCGTTGCGAAGACGGGCGTAGTGTTTCCATGGTGACCTCTTCCGGAGGGCTGGAGCTCGGTCGGGTCACCGGGGTCGCAAGAACCATTCGATGACGTCCCAGAGGGCCCGGAGGACCCGGAGGGCGCAAGAAAAGGTGGCATCCAAGAACCTGACCAAGGAGGAAGCAATTGCCTGGCGCCTATGAACTCTAATTGGTCCAAAACACCTGGACCTTAGTCTGCGAAAGTCGCAAGGCCAAATTGTTCATGCCCCTTGGTCAGCAATCCAACTGCACCTTTACAATGGCTCGTCCAAGCGTCTTCCCACTGATCAACTTTTTCAATGAGGAGACCGCACCCAGCCGCAAACGCAGCCGGTGGCGGATTGCATTGGTTTGTTGATCCTTAGGCCATGAAGCCGAAAACCAATCTTAACATTTGTGGGTCATGTTTTGCAAGCTTCAGACACAAACACATATAAATGAACTAACATTAATGGTATCCTCATATCTGTTTAGATCTATTAGATGGTGCAAAGTCTTAAGACTGGGACAAGAACATGGCTCTGGCAGTATTCCAGAAGAATCGATCACTCATATTTCTGCATCAAGAAATGCACTTGCCTGAAATGAGGGTGGCGAAATGCTGCAGTCTGAGCGCCGGTGATTGATTGTCTTGTTCTGGACGCGTCGTGTTTCTTGAACTGTCCTGTTTTCATATCTGCTCAAAAATCCTGAAGTATAGCTGCCAAACGTCCAAGGTGTCTAGATCTATAGTTCAAATTGCGGAAAACTGCAGCCTGCAGTATCTTTTTTGAAAGATCTGGTTGGGATTGTTCAACTAATTTTTAAGAAATCATCAGAAGTGTCTAAAAGACCGTTCTGGACCCTCAAATGGACATATATACATCAAAATATCTCTGAGAAGGGGCAGTGCCTGTGTCTCAGCCTCTTTTTCACGCCCACAAATCCTAGTTGAGACAAAAGGACCTGATCACACCAGGTGCTATCACACCAAATGCCTTTTCCAAAGGAAGTTGGCAATTTGATGAGTTTGACCACATGTTTAGGCCACAAGCACCGATGTCTGCAAACAAGGTTGCCGTGAGACACACCCATGGCCGGTGTCTGCAAATCAACTGGACATGAAATGTTAACTTTGCCCTAAAACACTAGGTCAAATGTCCTTTTCTTGACCCTTCCAGCACTCCCTCAGGTTGAAACCCAGTGGCGTTCCTCGCGATTTGTGGTCCGTCGCGGGACACCTCTTGATCGTCGGCCTCCTCAGAGTGAAGGTGATGGAATCAGGACAGTCTGTGGAAGCATACCCAAGGGAGCCAGTTACCACTACATCTGACAACCGGTGGTTCCCAAGAGTAAAACCACAGACCAGAGACCTTCTTGGATGCCTGAGAGGGAAGTGCGAAAGCCAGCACGAGAGCGCCGGCTCACAACTACGGTGCAGGAAGACACTGTCACTTTTTTGCATCGCACACGGCCGCCGAGCTTGGGGGCTCCTTAATCGGTCACACACTGGCACTCGCCCTCATATGGATGCCAAAAATCGCCAGGCAACCTCGATATCACTGTGACATTTTTGCATCGCACACGGCCGCCGAGCTTGTGGGCTCCTTAATCGGTCACACACTGGCACTCTCCCTCATGGATGCCAAAAATTGCCAGGCAACCTCGATATCACTGTCACTTTTTTTGCAAAGCACACGGCCGCCGAGCTTGGGGGCTCCTTCACTGGCAGTCGCCCTCATATGGATGCCAAAAATCACCAGACAACCTCGATATCACATGGCGCCGGAGACTGTTAGCGATCACTGTGAGACCTGACAACAGTGCCTATACCCATCACAGTTTGTGGATGTTTGTGGCGACTGTAGCCAAAAGTGGCCAGCTCGTCTGAATTTGAGAGCGTCCTGGAATCAACTTGTTCCTGCTTGGCACCCCCACCTATAGTATAGGCGCCAAAAATGGCCTCGCAAGTTCGAGGGCAAGTGGCGCCGAAGTCCGCTGCTCGTCGTTACTGTAGACGTTCCGTACTCTGGCATGGCTTTCTGTCTTGTGAAGTCGCGAGCATCCTGCAGTCGTACTGTTCATGGTTGGGTGCTTCTTGATGAATGCACAAAGGGCAAGCTACATGGACAAACTTTATGAAGTTGTGAGCACCTGCCTGTCTCACCAAGGTGCCAAAAATGACCTCGGAACTTTGAGATCACACGGTGCCGAAGTCCAGGACCGTTCCGAAGAGCACTTGCCGAAGTAGGGGCTGTTGACAATCTTGGAAGTCACCCCATACAACTTGGTGATGCAAGTGATGTCGCAACAACATTGCCTTGCAGCTTCTGCATCACCAACCATCTAAAACTGGAACATCAAGAAACGCAAAGAAACACATAAACTCGCGAGCTCCACAAAGAGCTGTATTATTGTTGTGCCGTTTCGCTGGGCTTGGGCAGTGTGGACTATCACTTGTCGTCCTGCAGGGTTTTGACATGGTGCGACATGTCCAATTGCGTGCACTCTTTTGGCAACATGTCACATGACTGTCAACCTTCAAAATCATCCCATCATTTACAAATCAAGCTATATCAAGCTCACGTTTCAGCAACTATTAGTTGAAGTGGTGTGTGTGTGTGTGAAACCCTTGGAGTCATAGGGCTTCCGTTGAAGTAGTAACTTTTTGAGCAGTCAGTACACAATGTCTTGAGTGTGTGTGCAACCCTTGGAATCAGAGGGCTTCCGTTGAATTTTCTTTCTTTTTTATCGCAGGCGACCAGGCAGGGTACATTGTCGCCTGGTCAACGAAGCTTACTAAAGGGCGAACGGATTTGCAGACCTGAGCGCGCTCGTCGTCACTTTGTCGGTCCCGCATGCCAGAGCTGGATTTCGTGATTTTGAACACTCTTGGCCTCCTTCCTTTCCACAAGACCTCCAGGACGTTTAGAACCCCGTGCACGCTTTCTCAGGAATATAGGTACCTAGGTTGGCGAGTGGCAAACCGCAATCGAGTCAGTGCGCAATATCTTGAGTGTGTGTTGTGTTGCTTTTGTTCTGAGGACAACAACTTTCTTGAGGTTGGGGTCATAGTTCTGATGCACACTCTAAGCGCAAACAATCAGCAAAGGGAATTCATGATTGCAGCAGGAAACATAATATTCTCCTGTGCCCGATGCCCTACTGTATCACATTATTATATTCTTGCTCCTAGCGTTTTCTTATGTTTCTCCGGAAGCAATTCCGAGACCCAGGGACCTGGACCTACATACTTTAAACTGTGAAGCGGGGGTGTTCCATGCAATCTCAAACACTTGTTCAACTCGTCTGAAGAGTAGACATGGTCAGATGAGTCAGAGCTCTTCCCATGTCCAAAGCATGGACTTGGATGCTGGACCCACATAGATTTTCAGGCCACAACCTTACTTATGTCCATCACTCTGAGCATTCCTCAAACGATCATGGAATCATGGCTCCAGCAAACCGTGTCCCTGCCCAAAGGAAGCAGGAAAATCAACTATAGTACATAATACATCATAATACTACAAAATATTCATGCTGCAAGTCTTTGGTGTTACACCACTGTCATAAACGGAATTACACAAAAAGGTGTCGGGTGTCGTATTTCTTCAGTTCCCCCAGCAATTTACAGTATCTGCGGACGCACTGCACGCACTGCTCAAACAGAATTCGTTCCTGAAGCTTCCACTTGACCGTACACCCTTGACCGTACAACGGTGTGTTTCGGGGTCAGACCAAACACTGCCTGTCCTGTTCCTCCGGTCACGTCGATCCGCGGTCCAGTCGCGTCAAAAGAACTTCCTATAGATTCCTATAGACCATCCAAAAGGTGTCCGGTCTGGGCATCCCCAAGGAAGATAGTCCAGCCAGGACACCCAGACTCAGATATTCGATTCCGATCTATTCTGATCGATTTCGCGTCGAGTGTCCGACTGGTTGGAGGTCCGCGTCTGTCGCTTCCCTGACGGAGTTCCTGCCTAAAGTGTGGGACGAGGCTGTCCGGCCCAAGTTGGATGTATTTGTGTTGAAGGTATGGGTGAAACAACAGCGTGACACAAAAACACGTGACCCCAAAAATAACTATAAGATATAATATATTATAAGTATATCATGCAGGGGATGAAACTTGATCAACGTTCTGCTGACCCACATCCGAGAAAACCCTGGGTTGTTTCGTTCGCATCCCACGCTTGGCGGAAGAAGCTCCAGTGGCCACATGTGACCAGACTGGATCGGACCTACCCGTGGGGTGGATCGGAGCTCGTCGGATGGAGTGCGTCTCCCACAAACCGTGGTTTCAGGGTAGATGGCAATGACATCCCTACATGTTTTTTCTGAGATGAAGCTTCGGAAATTGGGGGCCCCATGGCGCCATCTACTCTCCATCCATGAAGACGTATGAAAACATATGAAAACATCTGAAAACCTTCCCAACAGTCCCACCGTGTCATGTGTCCCACTGGGTGGGCGATGGGTGGTCTGAATCTCCACATTTAAAGTTCATCAGAATCACCGTCAGACTGAATTGCTTTGGCGGCAAAGCTAAGAAGCAAATGGTTGGAATTCCTGAATTCTTATGGTCCCCGGATGTCCCTGGATTGCCCCGTTCTGCAAGTCTTCACTTGAGAAGCGGGAACGAAAGCGAGAGAATGCTTTGTTCATTCCACCACCATCCTATCAATACGCTATCAATTCGTTGAGGAGGGGGGATCCCAATTGATTCTATCACGCAAGATAAAGGAGAGGGGTACCAAAAGACCCGCTATCAATTCGTTAAGGAGAGGGGTCACGCAAAAGTGGGCAGGGTCTTTTGATGTCTTTTGTGTATTACATCAATTTGGTCCTCTGGAACGATCAATTCTGACCCTCACCGGTCAGCAACGAAAACCGTCAGCAGACCTCCTTCGGTCTCCTCGCTTTCATGTCTCAATAGAGGGGCATTCCCCGTCATTCCCCCACATCAATTCCACGAAAACCAAAAGCATCCGAGGTTTCCTCGGAAGTCCAGGAAGACCTGGAATGGATCCTCAAAATCATGTCCGTTACAAAAGAGACTACTAGTAACAAGAAGCTACTAGAAACAAGTGCCACGCTAGTAGTAACAGGTGCCTTACTAGTAACAGGTGCCCCGCGAACGAACCCGACTCGAAGACTCGGGAGGACTCTTCGTGCCCGCGCTTGCGAAAGCTGTGACTCCATGGTCATGTTCATGCTCTCCGAGCCGGCCTCGGCGACCCGTTATGACCCGGACTCGGCACTGCGACGTGAGCTGTGCCGAGTGTGTGTGTGTGTGTCTGTGCGGGTGTGTTTTAGCGGTGATAGAAAACGGCATGTCCAAGACGGGGATGATTTAAGATAACCATGATCAGAATTCCAGCACAGCTCATGGATTTTTCTAGCTTGATTTGGATCAGGTGTTGAAACAAACTTACGTCAACCTGGAGATATCCGGAAATCCGCGAGTGCCAGAACATTGCAATCCACGGTCAAGCTTTGACCTCAAGCATAATCGATGGAAGATGATGGAAACTGCCAGTAAAGAATGGAATCCACCTCATTTGGAGCACAATTTCTGCGAAGCCAGGGCCCATCAGGATGCGCTTGCAATTTCAGCTGAACAAAGGCGAACATCTTGTGTTGCTTTGAACAAAAAAACATCATCAGCCCCGGGCCTTTCCGGAACTTCCATCACCCCACAATCACATCTTTTTTGGAGCCGTCTATGTGTCATGTCCGGCCGGCAACGGCGTCGTCGAGGAGTCCTTCCTCCGTCCAAGGCACCTCCGACTTGTCGGACTTGGAGAGTCGAGAATGAGGCAGATCGACCACATCCTGGAGGCTTCAAGCAAGGCAAATACGAGGAGGAGGAGGAGGACAAGGAGGAGGAGGAGGAGGAGGGCGAACCATGGCGAAGCGTAATCCCTTGCCACCCGGAGCGTCCTTAAACCATCCTGAAGAGGAACTTCAAAACCGTCTGGCATGTACCACCCCTGGACCATCCATGTGTCGAAAAGACCCCTGAAACCAACCTGATGTAGATAAATATTCCCTACATGGATGGTCTATGATGGTCTGGGCCATCTAATACAAAGCCCTCTTCTCTTGCGCTCCTTTCGCAACTCTTCCGTTTCTTCATGGTCATGATAAAGCTGCATACATTGGGAATGGGGCAAAAACATACTATATATTATATATTAGGTATGTATAGCCAGGTACTGTATGGCTCAAAGCCTCCTCCTAGCCCGAGTCAGTCAAAATTTTATTCAAGGCTTCCAAGCCTTGAGGTTGAAGCAGTAAATGAACACCACTCTTCACCAAAACAGGTGGAATAATGGGGTGCAGAAAGGCAGAATGGAGCTTGCCCTCTGTGGCGGATGGTTTAAGGGAGGTGAGGAATCTGAGTTCTGCAACTCCGCATACGTTATGCAACAGGTTTTATGGCAAACCAGGTGCCCGGAAGGTCAGAAGATCTGGCGGCCCCAAACTCTGTGGAGCAGGGGGGAGGGATCCGCAAGACTAACTTGTTTCATGCGGAGAGATCCCAAAGACTATTACTATATTATAGATCATGTTTCTTCATATTGTCAAATAACATGTGAAATTAACAGGGGCGAAGAAAGGGAAAACGGACGATTGGTATTGCAGTATGTGTTGCCGGCTTTCCATGATCCTGGATTGACATTACAATGAAATTTCAACAATGCAAATCCAACAATCTATGTGATTCCGCACGCTACTAGTAACAAAGGGCATCGCTACGAACGGAGCAAGGACGCTACTAGGGGCTCCTGGCATTCGCCACTAGGAGCAAGAAGCTCCAGAAATCTGCTCAAACAAACCCTCAGAGTCCATCTCTCTCCGAGAAGATCTTTAGAAGGTGCGCTACTATATCCCGTTTTGAGCTGTATAAGATCTCCAGCTTCACCCTCGAACTTGGGGTATGACCCAAAATAAATGCCCGCAAACCAACAAGTTTTGCAACTCAACACAATTCTGGATATCTTCGAACAAACCGTTTCCCCACCGTTTCCCCATCCCAACGGGGAAGCCGGCTGCCGCGGCACTTGGCCCAGCTCCACGCGGTTGGTGGTGACAATCTTCACGAGCGGCGGCCTGATTTTCGGTGAACACCATTAAAAAAACATCCAATCTTCGTTTGGCGTCTTCAGCGCCGCATGAAAGGGACACCTGGAGTGTGTAGATGTTCTTGTGTATATATATATACATTAATTGTAGTATGATATACATTAATTGTAGTATAATATATATATAATTATGTATATGTGTATATGGGATTTCATAACTCTACCCTGGACCGCTGTTGCAGATTCAGTATGACTGCAGTGGAAAAACAACACAACATGGAGGCATCGTGTGCTACACACATCGTGCTGAAGGTCTTGGCATATCTTGACTATTCGTCGTCCCTGCTGCATGCTCAGTTGAAGAAAGAAACAACTACTAGCATCTTAGATGCTTCTTCAGAGCCGGGAAAACACTAATATAATGAATAACAAATCCACAGTAGGGAATGGGACCCATAGGGAAAACAAGAATCACCGGCCCCCTAACCCAACCAAGCTATACACACTGAACCTTCCCCCTCGTCCATTCCAACACTAAACATACGCCCGCATCGACCACCAAACATGTCTATTCAGCCTGTCTGGCGCGAAGCTCGTTGGGTTGCTGGAATGGACCTGACGAGTCGAATCCCAAGCACTCCGTGGCTTACGTCCACGGAGTTGTGCATCGCTGTCGGAACAGGGGCATCCCTGTAGCGTCCCAAGCTACGAGTAACAAGTGCATCGAAAAACGAACAGAACAAGGAATAGCTTCAAGAGTCATAGTCTAGTCCAATGCTCTGGAGTACCGTCAACTCCGAAGATGCAATCTGATGCCATAATTGACTACTTATATACATGGTATCCGGAGGGCCCACGCACGTGGGGAGTCATGGACCTCAAGCGAGGACGGAGCCTACTCTTCTGCTGCTTCCTCTGTGTTCTTCTGCTGCTTGTGGTTGATTTGTCCAAGGAATCACTATGAATGACTGGAGTCCAGCCTGGGGCAGTTGGTTGAGAACATGAGACTCAGCAAAGAAACACGGTTGAAATTAGGAGTTGGAGTGTGACCAAAGAAGGTTTAAAATGGTTGAAAACACGTCATTGTAAGTTTGATTTGTTGTGTTATCTTGTTGAGTCCTAGATGCATCATCATGCACCTACCAATTTGGGGATTTTGTTCATCCTTCAAAACGACACCGGTACAAACTGGAGCATGTGTAAACCATCCAATGCATTCAACATTAACCCCAAAGCAACCTATTTGCTGCTTAGGGAGAAATTGCCGCATGCTGGGACACTTTTCAAATGCGAGGTTTAGAATATGTTTTTGTAAGACCTTCAAGCTGTTGCCATCGCCCCTGCATTAGTCAGTAATCTCCTGATGGCTGATGACACATTTTTCATGTGAACAAACACATGCTTTATCACAACAGCTCAGCATGGTTCAGCATGTGAGTAGCTTCACCCGTAAACTCTTCCATCACCCCCCACCAGGAGCTCGAGCTATCTCGAGCTGCTTCGTCGCCGGTCGACCGGTCGTCGACACAGACCGACCCGCCACTCTCGGCTGCCCGGCGTGCGGCGAGCCGTCCGGAGAGCCCACCTCGGTGAAGCGATGCACCAAGGGTGGGAGCAGTGGAGGGTGGGAGCAAACATCCAAAGGCTCCACACGTCATCTGACCCTGTCCCTCCAAACCTAGGGATTTGAGGGTCCGGACTCCTTCATATTACGGTCCCTGCTTTGGAGGGTCCAGGGTCGCGTCTGGGCAGTTCTGAGGCTGGAAGCTGGTGTTCCCCAAAATTCATGGCAGGTGGCAGCCTCTTTCTTCACGGGTTTCTCCTTCATCTTCTGCATCCAACGATATGCTGCCGCTCAATCAATCGGAATTCCGGAGTCTAGCACCAGACTTGGTAGAGTCTCTGCATGGACGGGGGATTAGGATGATTTTGTAAACTTTGGATAGTGATATGGAATTGGATTGTCATCGAGACATCCTGCTCAGTGAGTGTTGTACAGCTCTGGTTACAACTCAAATTTGTTGAGTTGGTCCGTTTACAATGCATGGGCCTGGGAGAAGCGGTTCCAGGCCGCCGCGTCCCTGAATGGAGCGACAAAGATCTCACACAAAGTGGAAACGCACAGCGGATGCTGGAGAACAGGGCACGTACAACAAGTCAGGGGGAAGGTGCGACAGTAATGTCATTGTAACAAAACCATCATAACAAACATCATATATGGCACCAAGATACACTACCAAGATATATGATACACGATCTATGATATATGGCGGACTGGTCATGGCACCAAGATACCAAGCGGTTGAAGGCACATGGTGTCTGTACATGAAGGTCTGGCACAATGGCGGACTGGTCGGGCGAACACGGCCATATACCGAACGTACCAGTCCGACCATGTGGGGGATCTGCATCGATTCATCCACCAAGCCATCGAGACGGCGCGCCTCAGAGAACTGGCGAAGCCTCTTGATTTCCAACTCCATGTCCATGACTTTCCTTGGAAGGTTCCAGTGTCTGCACCCGGGAAAGTCATAACTGGCATGGACTGGAGGGGGGACTCTACTTAAGATCATTTAAGATCAAACGCATACTATACGCCTCTTGGGTGAGATTTGAAGGATGCCACTGTGGCCTTCCCATGATTTCGTGTCTTCGTTGTTCGATCCGGGTCAGTGCAGGTTTATTGCACCTGTGATGAGTGATGCTCCTGACTTTCACACAACCTGCGGCCCAAAAGAATAAGAACAGGCACAATGTCAAGAAAATCCAACTATAATTTATAAGGCCCAGTGAAGTCTCCATTGGTACGAAACTGTTGGTGTCCATTTGGTCATAGTTCGGTCCAGCAGTCCAGCAGCGCCTGCCAAAAGAGCCTGTTGAGGTTGCGATGCAATCGCCGGAATTCACCGGATATATTTACCAAGAAAAAAACATGGCATTTCATCATTACATGGCCATGTCGTCTTAAAAAAATACAGAATACATATTTAAAATATATACATATACAACTTAATTTGAATATGCAAGACCTGTCAAACAAAGACCGCAACAATGCGAGCTAAGTCAGAAGGAGAGGGCGGTTGACGGGGGCGAATCATGAACCCACTTCCGGTCCTACCTCCGTGGTGTCGATCGCTACGAGGGCATCGCTACTAGTAACAAGGGCGTGACCTACTAGTAACAAGAATCTACTAGTATAGCGATGCACTTCTTACTAGAAGCAATGCCCTTGTTACTAGATGTTACTAGTACTTGTAGCGATCAACAAAAAGCACCACATTCTTCGCCCTCCGGAGAGACTGGTCGTTGGCCATCACCCAAACACCAGCTTTCGTGGCCGATGGCTGATGGCCCTGGCCTCTTTACCGCGTTCGCCAAACGGGTCAAGTGTACCAGAGCCAAACAGCTTGTGTCTGGGTCACCGGTGGCTGGCGCTTCCGCGTGGGCGCTTCAGCCGAGCGTCTGCAGTAGATTGCTCTCGTCGAGGCCCACCCGCGTCACCGAGTAGACCTGCAAGGTCCCGACGGCGCGTTGCAGTGGGAAACAAATTTGATGCGGCGGCCAAGCTTAGATAACCATCATGGGGACAATTAAATATGTGTAGATTAATAGATTGATGTTACATGTTCATCTAAATCATAGATTCTAATATGAAACATTGCTGTTGCATTGTTTGCACGTGAAGCACCCGTAAACATCCTGTAACCATCTGTAATCCCTGCGACCGCAACAAGTCGACGGTGAGTGCGCTGGTCGACGTGCGGAGCTGGCACTCCCGTGCATCGATCCCGGGGGTCTTCCAGGTGGCAACTTACTCGAGTCAATCAGTTGATCCGCGGGGAGAAGACCAGTCCAACCACTGAAAATGCCTCCCGCGATACTTTGCCCCCTTTGTTGACCTCTGGTCTTTTGGTCCTGGGATTTCTGGGATACTGTCCAGGACCATCTTTCAGTCTTGAATGATCCAAAGGACACACCTGCAGTAGTATCGTCAGCAGCCTTGCTTTCTCATTGAAATTGCCACAGCTGTGGTTGGAGGCAACTTCCAAAGACTTTCTGGGACAGGTTGTGATCTCTGGCGCAAAGAACCGACCTTAAGCAACATTGTTGGAGCTAACAATAGGGTCTGACAGGCCGATAGGAGTCAATAGTCAATAGGGGTCCATATTTTATTCAAGTAAGTCTTCAACACAACCGTTGAAGAGATGAGACAAGCGCTCGCCCGGAGCCAACGACCGACATCCACCGACCCGTCGGGAAGCATAAGACACACATGGTGATCGTTGCAGGGGGTGACTTCTTCGATGAAACATCTCTCTGTCACAATGCTGAAATGATGCTGAAATCGCCAGGGAGGCGAACCACAACTCACCGCAAAACCATATCTAAAAAAAGAAACACACGTTGTGAGAACCCCTTCTTGATGCCTAACGGAATCGAACGGACATATATCAATCTTGTCCTCGTGTCGTTCTTCGGCCATTTCCAACGAAACGGCCTCCAGCATCTGTTGTCGAAAGACTTCCCAACTTGCATCCAGAAAGCGCCCGAAAGTCGCCTGTTGCGGCGGGTGCACCCAGCGGTCGCCAGTTCATCGGCAGTACATCAGCAGCCAATCCCCAAAATTGGTCCCAAACACGAAAGCCGAAGCATCTGATGGCACCCTGTAAGATATTGAATCGACTAATCATGAAGAATCTATTTAATTTTAGAGACTACTTGATACTACCCTTAACCCCTGAGGAGGTGAAACAGCTTGGAGGCCTTCAATCACTGATTGCAGAATAATTTGAGTAAACACCAAAAAGGAATGTGGTCTCCCGTGACCCAACAAGAAATCCAAGTGGACGCAATACGTTGTGCAACACGCTGATGTCAACGTTCCTCCTCACCTCTGGGTGGCCATGGAATGGGTCATGGAATATGATGGGAACTACCCAGTGCGGTGCATGCAAGCACTGCACATCACAGGTCCACCTCAGCACTTCAGTGGCTCTCAGCACTTCTCCGCAAGGGGTTAATCATCATACCCAAACACTCTATGAGACTCTATGTATGGCATACTTACATGGGGTCAATGTATACTATTCCAAAAATTGATAAACACAAATTGACTGTCTGGGATATTTTTCCCTTTTCCGGCCATACAAGACATCCACACTCCCTTGGCCCCTGCATCCATAGATGGCCTCTCCATCCTCTTCTCCCATTGTGGATGCTAAGTGGAGTCGACAAATCTCAAATCTGTGACCTTTTGATCTGATGTCTTGGCAGAACTGGGCTTCAAACGGCATCAAGAGATGATGAGCAATGGGCCGTAGTTTTTCAGAGATGACTGATTCGTTACGTAGAGCATAGCCATGTCATGACAGGTTGGTACTCGAGATTCTTTGATGAGGCCTTCACAAAATCCGAGCCAACAGGCAAACGGTCGGAGAAGGGTGCAGCCCCTTGTGTGGAGGTTGTGTGAGCATTCCGTCTATCAGGGACTCTCAAGTCTGGCCAACTGAGACTTGCAAGAAACCCAGTTGTATTTATCCAGCCCTTGAACGTAATGTAAAGAACAACACATACTGACATTCTGCGAATTGTGGCTTAGCATCAGTGAACTTCTATATCATTCTATATCTATATACTGGTTGGCAGGGGTGGTACGGTAGTGTGCGAAATTAGCATGAATTAGCAGCCTGGGCTACCAGTTTTCTTGAAACATCTTGAAGCACAACACTCTGCGTGCATGGTACCCCGATCATGAAGCCGCAAGAAAACCATTGGAAACCGATTCTACATGCTGTGCGTGCAGCAGAAGATGGTACATAGTGTATGTGGACCCTGCGAAGTACCTTGCAAAATGCATTACCAAATAAAACATGTACTGTTGCCAATTTTCCAAAGTACTTTGAGACTATGTAGCTCCAAAACACATAAAAACTAATATCTCAAAGCTTTTTGAACCTCTGCGAACCAGCACCTGGTGACTCCAGACCAGTTGCACACTCAAGTGTCATGCTTTGCAGGTGTGAGGACCTGCATGAAGATTGTTGCTTTAAAACATTGCACATCGTCAGGAATTGACAAACAAAAAGTCAGTCGTCCACTCCACACATCATCGCATGAGATACAACACGATGAACATAATAATGCACACCACTACTTCACATTACTTCCTTACGATGTGTCCGTCATACCCATGGTACGGCGGTTTGCGGTACTCCGGTGGTATCTCAGCATCCATCTTGGATGGATCACTGGACAGTAGCTGAAAAAATAAACATGAGATGGGACGATTTGTGCAGGATGCCCATTTTAGGGCCCGCCCACAGGTCTTCTTCTACCTTTGATAGACTTTGGCTGCCCTCTGGCCTCTGACACTTCTGAGATTGACGCACGACAAACCCCTCACGCCGTGGGTCATGCCGGTTGCCGTGCAGACTCGCCCAAGTGTGTTCCAGCAGGCCATAGTCGTTGGCATGTTCCTACAAAAAACATTCAGAATCCTTCCAAACGTATACATTTGTTGCATGTTACAACAGTTGTTCATTGATATGATAAAATATGATAGTTAAAAAGAAACATATCGCAGTCAATGATATTTCCAAAATTGTTATGTTCTTTCTGGGTCCATGAACACCCTTGGAGCACTTCTCCCAGGGACAGTGTGCCGCGCCGACTCAAAGATTGGCAACCCGGAAGGCCGAAGCCGGTGCTCTGGAGTTCATGCGCCGGATGTAGCCTTGGAATGTGGTAAAAGGAAGCCCAAAGAGCTCCACACGCAAACAGTTTAAAACACGATTTACTCATATATGCATATCGTATATATATATATACACGTATATATAGATTAATCAATATATATATGCATAGGATCATAATGGATTACAGTATATAATATATAATATCTAGGAAACAAAACAAATCACATCAAATCACCGGACATGTCAGCGAAACCAGGTAACTCAGTTCAGTCTGCAGAGTCGACCTTAGAACATCCAAGTTCTTCTCGTAGAGCTCCTTGATTTCCTCAGCGTTGTCACCCCGAAAAGAAAGGGCGTCCAACGTTGATTTAATGCTTTTGACTGAACAACCAGCCGCTTTACTATAGGACCATAGGAAGTTTAGACTACAACACCAGGTCAACTATATAGATAAAGTATAACTCTTTGAAATTCTTTGAATGGTCCTTGAAGGCTTTTGGGGTAGCTAGAATGTCACCTCACCTTGAACCCCGAAACCAGCGATCTGGAACAAACGGCAGAACAGCAATCCCATTCTGACTCCGTGTGACCCATCTGACCCTTTTCCCGAGGTGAACCAGGTGCAAAGCCAAACCGAGGTGACCAGGGCCAAAGTCCGACTCCATTTTACCATTGTTGAGACGCGAGACGCGAGACTAGAATCTCCATGATTGGCAAGGAACAAGAAAGGTGGGTCAGGTCCGGGGGAGATTCAACTTTCAAGTTTGTGAAAAACAACAAGAACCTTTCATTTCGGAAACTACGTGGTTCAAATAATCTGCCTCAGGTGCACAGCCACTTTGGAGATTTGGAGACACAGCATCTTGTGAGCTCCAACCGATCAGCAAATCTTCAAAAGCTTCAGTCTGATAAGGACTGACGCTTCGAATCTATGGTCCTTTCTGTATACCTTACCTTGGAACCGGTGATCAGCCCTGAAAAGAGGAACGAAGAATGCGTCAGCAGTGAACGGTCAACCCATCTGAAAATATATATACTGTATTTAGATTTATGCATCCTGACGCTTCCTGTAGTCGTAGACTCAACCAACACATGGGGCTCTGAACAACATCAAAAGTTGTTCAACCCGTGTCCACCGTTCGACCCTTCACATCTCCTCAGTGCCCTTGACACAAGTGTCTGCCACCATACTCTGGACAGCTTTGGTGGCCAACAAGGCGGCCACCGCATCGCTCTTCTTGATCTCCCCGCGGATCTTCAGCAAGCCCTCCAAACGGCAAAGAATGGCAAAATGGACAAAGGGGGCATTTTAGGAACTCTTCAGTCGCCGTTTCTGTCCTGATTCCCTCAAATTGCTATAGCTCAAGAATAAACGTACAATCCAACATGGTAAATAGAAATCATCAGTCAAAACGTGCCTAAGATGTAATATATATATATATATTACATCTCATTATCTCTTTATCTTTTGTTAGAGCCTCTCTTTAAACGCACACCGGTTCCCTTCGTCACTTCGTGGGTTTCATGGGGTGCACCGGGTGCACCGGTCGGTCGTCTCCTGCACCAGCTCGGTGATGTGAAGCGTGCCGCTGCCGTCCGCGTCGATGACCTCCGTCCAGGACCGGGACGAGGGAGCGACCGAGTCGCCCCACATGGACTGGAGAATGACGAGAATGAGATGGATCATTGACAAGCTGTAAATCCTTTGTGCTGCACTTCTGCCAAGGATCCAGGATGGCGGAAGAGTTTAGAACTCCACGTGGAGTTCCTGATATACAACAATTACATGCTTGAATCAGGCAAGTCTGAACAGCTTGGTCGAAGCAGGATTGGTCCTCGTCTGAAACTCTGACTCCATCGCCAATCCCGCAACGTGGTCCGGTCTGTGGTCCGGGAAGCCAGCCACCGAAAGCTGGTGCGATTTGTGGAACCATTCCAGCCACCCCACCGATGTCCAACCTTGGGAATAGAGGGATCGATGCCACTATATACATCGATATGAATCGATATGTATTAAATATACATTTAAACATCATGCCTATATTGATTGTACACATTAGGGACTCTCCCTTGTATTCATCAACCAGTCAAGAGAAATTGCCCTCAAGGCCGTCTATGAGCCCGTCGCTCACTCTGAGCGCACATCTGGTCGAATCCGACCACGAACTGGGTAAGTCCAACCAATGCTCCGTTCGTAGCTTCTTGCTGCTGGTAGTGAGGATGCTCCTAGTAGTACGGCCAGGAGCCCCTAGTAGCGTCCTTGCTTCTAGTATGCCAGGAGCCCGTAGTAGCGTCCTTGCTCCTAGTAGCGATGGCCTCCAACCTAGCGATGGCCTCCACTGGTAGCTTCGTGCGGCCAACCACGAGTTCGACGCCTCGAAGAGATTGGCCCGGTCCGGTGGCAAATCCAACTCATCCATGAGACGCTGCACGTCACGGTCCTCCAACGGCGATTCGCCGCGTTTTCGAGTTGCCTATATTTTACAGCTTCCGAACAGGGGCGAAGTGTGCCGGGAACCAAACGAAGCAAAGGTCGGATCATGATGAAGTGCGGCAAAAGTAGACTCTGAAACTTTTAGATGCGAGGTCTATAGTGAAACCAATGAATGAAGGGATAGGATGTACCAGTGTTGTTAGTGTCACAAGTCACAATCCAAAAACATGCGAAAAAAAAAAAAAAACAGCTGGGCTTGGTGCTAGCTAGAGTCCCAGAATTCCAAATACTGGGGGCACAAATTTCTGCCACAAGCCAGCAGCTTGATTGGATTAGTGGACACATTCTTTGACACGTCGGGGTCCCTTTCTCCCGCAAGAAATGCTTGTACTCATTGAGTTGGCAGGTCCAAGTCGGAATCTCCTGGATTTGCGAAGAAAAGCTGAGATACGTCTGATAGTGGCCCTTTGAGCACTTTGGTGGCCTCTACCAAAGTCGGAATTCAACTCAGCCTCTCCTGGATCACCAACAAGAAAAGCTCTTTGGTAATGGCCTCAGCTCTGCCCACTTGTGGTGCAAAAGTCGACCTGCGTCCCTTGTTGCCGCGGGCCGAGAGAGAGAGAGAGAGAGAGAGAGACAGACCTTACAACTACAACATGAATGAAACTCCAAAATCCAACAAGATCATGTGGCTCCAAATGCGTGCGCGTGCTTGGACAGCAAGAGCAGATGCTGATGTCATATTATTTGAACCCGCGGATTGGTAGCTTTGTTGCACATGCCAGCAACATAGAAACTGTAGATATTGCAACAAGGTGCAAGTTGTGACCACTCATAGAAGCAATTGAGTAATTATGTGTTCCTGTATTATACCCATCCACGCTGGGCCGCATCCATTTGTCCGTCGTTGCTGTATAAGGCTCAGCTTGCAGCAAATACTCTACCAATGCACCCTTCGAAGACCGCACTTGCAACACCCGAAGCTCGCCATGTGACAGTGCTACTCCTTTCCTACATGGGTTTAGCATGGTTTAGCTGTAGCTTGGAAGCACCAAGAAATGTTAGTAGCATACTAAGCGGTGCCAAAACGGAGGGCGTCCCACTCGAAATACTGCCCCAGGCACAGTGTGATAAACTTACAGGGTGAAAAAAAGCACCTACGTACATCATCAATGCTTGCCAGGCAACGATCTTGTCGTGAACCTCAGACATTAAGAGTCGTTCCAAAACAATCGAGCTTTGACAGGACAGGTTTGATCTTCCTACAGCCACGACATACTGTCACAATAGCTTCGAGGATCCTGATGGAATTGGCTAGTGTCTAAACCTCACGATCTTGTATCTTGTTGCCAGTTCGTGCGCTTGAGAAGAGCTAGGTTCAGGGGGAGAAAGCACATGCATGCCTCTGGATTTTGGAAGTTCCAACCAACACCTGCTGTAAGAAAACGCTCCGCCAAACAATTAACTTACACTCTCAAACACAGGGTTCATGCGAACATCCAAAATCATCCTGCACATTGTGCTTTTGTTTTTTCTTCCTGGGTGGACTTTTTTTTGCCACCGACTTAAACCACGCAGCATCCTCATCCGTGAAGATGGCTGTGGCGCTGCGGAATTCGATGCGACTCACCTGTGGACGTGGAAAAATGGTGCAAAAAGGTTGATCAAAATACATGGATCACGTTGTGTTTTAACGGTCCACACCCTAGCTCATCCCCTTAACTGCAGGGGTGGAGTAGTGGCCCGCCTCCGATTGAACCCGGGATTGAACCCGTGTGAAAAACGCGGAAAAGCGATGCGTCATGGCCACTATATAGACCATACCGGCCCTCGAACACATGGGAAATAGATCCAACCTTCAGCTCTAGGGCATCCCGACGTTGTAAACCGACCGGACAGAAGGGCCGGGCTCTTTCGGCTTTGAAGCGATTTGCTTGACGGAGGACTCACCCGACTCGACAATCCAGCAGCCTCGACAGAGTGGTGGGGATGATGGCGAGACCATTTCCTTTTGTCTTTGGACTGGCATGCTTGGCATTTGCACGAATCTCTGTGCGATGCGGCGATGAACACCTTCATCAAATTCACGTGCTGCTGCATGCTGCATTGAAATTCATCCAACATCCCAGCAAGGTTTCAGGCGTTGAGCTGGTCGCTTGCGATGCTGCTTCATCAGGGTCGCACGAGAGCATTCACCCAGCTGCATCTGTTCAATTTGGGCTGCGTGGTACACTCCAAATTCTGTCACGATGTCTTCCATGAACATGGTGACATATTTCAACAAACTTCGAGAACCTCATGTCAATCCTCCATTCCAAAAGTCCTTCATCACTCTGATGTCTACCTGACTACCTGGTTCTTCTATACCCCCCCTCAAGACTCTTGTCTCAATTCCCAAATGATGAATTATATATTAGGCGTTGCCAAACCAGGAGTTCTTTTCCGGCACCTTTGCCAACCCCCCTGTTCAACGCCTGATCTTGTTCTTCCAGCTCTTGAAAGATCCGGTACGCTGCAGCAAACTTCTTCAGCAACTCACCTTGACTTCTTCAATCGCACCGGCGAGGCGGTTTCCAAAAACGAGAGACACTCATGGATGTCTTCAACAGGTGTGTGGGTGTGTGCACATACCCCATGGATCCACATACCCTCTGAGAAGAAGGTTGGAGACTCTTTGATGTAGGTTTGGAGGGTACAAGTACCTTCGAAGGTAGGATCCCTAAGGATACATAAATAGACTCTTTATTTAGACTCAATTTGTTGTGAAGACTTTCCCGGTGCGCTTTGACTCATTGTGTCCAATGGTTTCAAATGACCTGGCGGGTGGTCCACACTGCTGTGCGTGAACATATGTAATAAGCCCCCTTTCTGACAGGAAGGAGACTGGAAAGCACCTCCCAAGCAAAGAGAAGTCAATGAAACCAGTGAGACCTCTTCGCTTCTTTTCGTTTTCCAGGTCAAGCATCTCCATAGAGCAAACGCGATCAAATCCTCTCATTTCTGCTTGGCATGCCTATTTTTTGTGGCACGCTCAAAGAATTTCCTGGGCTTTGATCCTCATGGCATTGGCTTTGATTTAACATCTCAAAGCGTCTGGGCCTTGTTGACCTTGGATCAAATGAAGTTGGTATGGCACTTGGCGCCTCTATTCTGCCATTCCAATCCACTTGGAGAGTCGCAGTCTCAAAGCTTAAAAACTAGCAATATTGGTCAACAATTCCCAAAAGATCAGCACAGGAACTACAAATTTCACCTCAAGGAAGTTAACATGGTGTTTCCATTTGGGGAACATGGCATGGGAACATATGACACGTCCATCACCTCCCTCCGGATCCAGGTCCATCCCTCCCCTCCAGGTCCATCATGACATGTGGCGAGTGGTCCGTGCCACACGGATGGACTCCCGCGCATATTGCTCTGCAGTAGTGGCGTCGGTTTCCTGGACACAACGAAGGCCACAGTGATGGATTCGTGTGATAGTGGATTGAGAGCAGATGGCGCAGACCCCAACGTGGGTATGTATTTTTGTTAATGGATCCCCATCTAAAAGACATCGGGGTTTGTGCCATCTACTCTGACTTTGTTTTTCACGAGACGGAGGCACACAGATGGACGCCGCGCAAAAACAATCAGACTGAATCCATCTGAATATGGTTTCAAAACATGAACAGGGGCAGGCTTTTTGGGGATCATGGTTACCCTCCATTCTGATGTTTGGGGGAAGTAGATGTTCAAGTATTGAACCAAACCTGGGATGTTGGTGGAAGCGATGCACTTCAACTTCACTTCGATCCAACGGGTTTGACAGAGCCGGACTTGAGGGATTCTCAAGCCATTCAAGCCACGAGAGCATGGTTGCGACCTTAGTCGAGAGGGGGGACATAGTGAGGGACCTGTCAGCATAGTCTTTATTTTACCATGGCCAGGATTTAAAGGATATACAGGGTACATGGTCTACTTTCTTGCTATACCCGCTTCTCTAGGTAGATTTGTCGAGAAAACCACGGTCCATCTATTGTCAGTTCTGTACTCAGTGATGGTAAACTAAATTAGAGCCGAATCTATCCCCTGCGGAGATAGGACCCAGCCGACCAAAGAAAGCGACCGGAACGCCGTCCGCCGTCGTCGGGAATGGGCAGCGAGATGCAGCGAGGCAAAAGGAAAAATTTACTACGAGCGGCAAGTGATTGTTTGGACAACGTATTATGATCTGGGTCCAAAGTACATAATTAATATATATATATATATATACTATCATGATTCTTCGTGTCCTCTCATGATTCTTCGTTCAAAAAGCAGGTTTGGCCACTGTGGACCAAGAGTTCATGATAAGCAGGTCGAAGATGTATAGAGGCTAAGCATGAAGCGCATCATAAACATAACGGCAGAGTTTCCTGACTGCTATCAGCGTGAATGTTGTCCACAAAATCACCACTCAATGCTCAAGTAATCCCCCACACAACGGAGCTGACAGTGATTGACTTTGATCACAGTGATTAGGTATCTTTTGTGTGCATGGCTTTCCTGATCCAACCAAACCAAACAAGACCTATCACTGATCCAACCATTACAGAACCCGCCAGATCCAACCAGCCACGATCCAGCCAGCCACTGGTCACTTGCGGTATTTGTTCGACCCTATGGAGCCAAAACGTCCATTCCTTGCGAATATCAGAACCCAAAAAAGCACGGGTTGAATACCGGGAATGTATAAGAACATCGAAGAGTTGAAGCATCAACTCTTGATGTCCGAAAAAGCCAGGATCCTGTCATGATGTCCTCAGGGTCTGAAGATAGATAGTGGCGTGGTTCTTTCTTTCATACTTGGTCTGGCTTGGTCTTCACCTCGTGCTTCGTCTCTTCACATCGTCGAGACCCGTCGACCCGTCGACCACGTCGAGACCCAGTACGTGTCGACATACCGCGTCGGTCGACGACCAAGGCAGGAAGGATGGTCGACCAGCTCGGGTGTATGGAGGCCCAGAAGTAATGCAAGTGTGATCCCAAAGAAATGGAATTCAGGAAAAAGACAACCATGTATACATACAAAGCATATGAATAGGTGGACCCCAAAGAGATGCCCGAAGAATGACCCTCGCGGCACATGGTGAGAACATGGTGAGCGCCCACCCGGCCTTGGCGGCTTTCATGGTGATCTCGACGTACACCTGGAAGGGTCTTCTTCTCCCCCGGAAGCAATCGCAGGTGCACCGGAGAAGACACAAATCGCTCTATATTGGTTGTTCACTTGGGGGTATCCCGGTATCCCCATCTGTTATCAATTAAACTAAGAGTAACAGGCCATGCTGCTGCCAACTTCCTTTGGCAAACAACTCAGAAAACCGCAGCACCGTACGCACCACCAGAAAGATCCACCTTGCACCTTCCGTCTTACCTCTCTTACCTCAGGAGGTTTGCTGCCTTCCATCAGCAACATTCAGCAAGTTGTAGATGACCCAGAAAAAGCCTCCACCACTGGACCCAGCGATTGACGATTGACGATATCCACTACACCCACTCACTAGAATCACTTACATAGTTATACATTTATATATACATCACAATACATCACATCATATCCTATCCTGAACCAACATGGAAGGCTTATCAAAGCTGGCAAACATGCTCCTCCCTTTTTTCTAGGGGAGGAGACCCCAAGGTCAGGGTTCGGTCAGTTTCTATATTTTTTGGGAGTTCTACAAAGGCTAATTTGGTTTCTTGTGCAATGGTTCAAAGCCTGAAAGTCGGACAGGTAGGTCACTCGCCCAAGCGAAGTGGAAGGAATCGTTCCCTGCCGCGCCATGTGCAGGGAATGTTTGGTAGACACGTTTGCCAAAACAACACCTGAGTCATATTCTACATCTTGGAGAGTGTATGAAGAGTCTAGTCAGAACTACATGATGTAGGTGTTTCAAAAAATAATGCAATATCTCCAGTAGTAATTACCATCCCCCATCTCCGGTTCACATCCACACTGTGGTTCCCCACGGCCAAAATGACATTGAAGATGCCTCAAATACACTCAGTGAAAAAAAAAACAGATCCTCCATTGATGCTGAGAGGTGAACCTGTCAGACGCGAGGACCTTCTTGAAGTGAATTTCAAGAGAGTCCAATCTTTCCAGGATGGACCATAAGCAAATCTCGGTTGTAATGAACCAATTCTTGCTTTGCCTACAACCGGAGTGTTCTCAAACATAAATAGAAAGTAGATCGCTTGTAGCCAATCCAGCGTGTAGCTTGCATATGCTTGCATTAGTGTTCGATGCAAGAACTGATACCCTAGGGCTCATTGGGGCTCCGACCCTCTTTTCTCCAAACCCTGGAGAGCCGCCCCAAACACCCTCTCATCCAGAATGCAGTTGCAGCCGGAAAAAGGTTTTAATAGGACATTTACATGATCCCTGATGCCAACTGATACTGCTAGTGCTAGCTGCTAGCGCGGGCCTCAATCCGTCACGAGCTCCTGGGGTGGAACTTGGGGAATGCTGAGCTCTTCAATCACTCACTGAGGCATTGACTGATGCGGCAGATCTACACCCACTTCATCACAACCCGTCATTTTTGGGAGTGAGTGGTGTATCTGGGACAAGTACCAGCAGAGTGGCATAACTGGGAGTTTTTGCCAAAGGTTTGTGGTTTTGCTTTTGCTTTTCCGTGGTCATGACTGGGAGTTTTCGCAAATACTTCTTCGATATGACATGAGAAACTCCTGAGACACTCCAGGAGTCATGTAGACCCGTATGTTATGAAGCATCGAAGCCCTGTGTTGGTATGTCCAAAACCTATCCCTAGGCCTCCAGTCGTACCTTCTGAGAAGGTGTCTGGGGTGGGTTTGGAGGTTACAAATACCTCCTGAGGAGGTACGACTGGAGGTGTAGGGTACTGTGTAGGGTATGTTTGTTAAAGTTGTTGGCCGGAACATTATTTCAGGCACTGCATGTAGCAACTCCATGCTCCTCGTTCTGGGTTTCTCAACCAAAGGAAACAATCAACAAAAACAACATGCATTTTTTGTGTGCAACGTGTCATAATGATAAGTCACACCGATACAGCATCCTCCGGCGAGTTCAATTATATATCGAAGAGTTTCTTTTAAGACACTCCAAATGTTCTGGACTGCTGACGGTTGTCGACAAACACAATCGATTTTCCCCAAAGCCTTGGAACAACTGAGACGTGAGGGGCAGCAAAGGATGATTCAAGTCCCTGCTTTCTCAATGTCCTCTCCTTGCTTTTCCAGTTACCTCAAGACACGTCAGCAGTTGGTACAGTAATTACCCTCCAAAAAGATACGATCAGCTGGTTGCATCTGGTTGCTTTGAAAGGATATAGGCTCCTGCTCCTTGTTCCCAGCCATTCGAAATATGTCCAGCTGCCAAGCTGCCCAAGGACACCAACATGTAACTCGCGATGTAGGCGGCCACGAACCTGCTCTCAGATGCTCTGGAACAACGAAACCCGTTTGGGCAAAAACCAGGGATTGGTGTAAAGGAAAGACGAGCGTTTCATCTGAACATCTCAACACACGAATGCGTCACGACCAGGGAAACATCAAAGAATTTCATGCAACATGTTCTCCATAGAAGTCCGGGAATCAGTGAGCTTCCTGGTATTGTTTGCATGTCTGCAGCAATAGTGCTTAAACATGTCAAAACCATGATGGTGTTGCCCACTCTAAACAACGGCAAACAAAGCTGCCAAAGACCTTCGACAAACCGTGTCCGCTAAAATGCCGCTAAAATGGGTTCTAGTGCACTATGCAAAGTGCAGGCTCCACCAAACTAGCTTTGATGAAGACTTTGGCATTGGCCACATCTTTGATGGTTTCCACTATAATATATAATTAATATTAATTAATCAACTGTAATCAAACATCAAATGTGTTATCCAGCATTCAATTTCCACAGTTTCCATGTGTAAAACAAAATTGCACTCCAGTCTGTCAGCAGCGAAAAGGACATAACCTTTGGTACTCCATAGCAATGGTGGCACCTGGCAAACAAATGCCTCAAAAATGTCCCCACCCCTTTGTGAGCATTTGCTCGGCGGAGTACCAAAGGTCTGTCATAGATGTACGTATTGTCTTATCTGGACACTAAAGACCTTTTGATTGAATTACAATACTACTCGTGGTTCACGGTGTCGAGCTATATAATCTATATATATATATACGTATGTCCAGGAGACCATGCACAATGATGTAATATATTCGAGCTGAGGTGACGGTTCGTGCAAAAAAAAATCCAATCAAAATCGGCCCCTAGATTTATGATTCCCCTAAAAAAGAAAACACTAAAAAAACAGACCCCCCTAAACAGAACCCCCTATCTCAAATCAGCCCCTATAAACACGTCAAACAAAACAGAATCCATCTCACCAAAGACCCCGACCTCGTCGCTTCGTTACGACCGAACTCGTCGCTTCTAAGACCAACGTCGCTCCCGACGTTTTTCGTGGCCCGGCCCGATGCCAAAGCGGTCCGCCAGGAGGGAAGTCATGGGAAAACCTGGAAGAGGAAAAAGCCCGGCCAGGAGTCATCGCTTGGTGGGTTTTGACCCCAAAAATGGGCAGTTGGAACGTGATCGTGAAAATCTTTGGCCCATGTTCGCCTGGTCGAAGGCTTCGGATGTGTTAGTCTGAGGAAGAGACAAATGCCAAGTGAATCAGTGTCACCCTGACTTCTGAGAAAGAAATAAACAACAAAAGCACGATGTTCTCTACCAAGAGCCGCCTAGATCCTAGATCCCAGAGTGTATTAGTCAAAGCGTGCTTACTGCCATGAACATCCGTAAACAAGGCTTTCTTGAACAACCACCTGGTCATGGCATAATACTTCACCCGTGCAATGCAGTTCTTGCTGCGTGGAGTTGGGAAAGAATGCATCTGGATTGGTCTCCACTGCATCTTCAGATTTGCATTTGTGTGCTATATACAGTATATATAAATAAGTATGATAATGCCTTTCACACATTGGGAACGGACGCTCCACTCATATAGTTGGAAAAGACAATTCCAACTCCCACATAGAAAAAAAACAAAAGCAATGAACAAAAGGACTTTCCCTGCAGCCCTGGAAATATGTAGAATCCCCCTACAACCATCCAAACCAGGTCCAAACTAAACTAAATGTAGTAGAAACACATCGATTCTTCCGTGCTTCTTCTGGTTGAATGGAACTGCCAGGGATGCACCGGAGAAAAATACCAGGCAGTGAGAAAAGGACGGAACTTGGCACGCCAACTTCTTTGCGCAGCTTGGGAACGGTGGCAGTGCCTTGTCAGTGCCTTGTCAATGGCAGTGCCTTCAGTCATCCCAGATCTCAGATCCCACTCTCCCGCCTAGGTCATTGGTACATTCACCGGTAAAGCAGCGGAAGGATGTGAACATGGACCTCAGGTTCACACAACAAAGGCACTGAATCGGCACAACACGGCGAGATGAAGCACTGGTTCGGTTTGCCCGTAGTTTTTGGTGGCATTTCCACCAAGGGGAGACAGGCCGTAGGTCACCTCTAGCTCCGCAAGGCTTGGGGATGCATCGCAGCCGGGGAGATTTCGGAGATCGAGCACCCCCGACAGCTTTTTTTCGACGGACGGATTTGCGGTTCCAACGATGAGCCTTGTCGACCTTCCAACTGCCGGACCCTCAGTGATGTGTTTCTTGTGTACTTGTTCCCCCAGGTACCAGGTATCTATAGAATCATTTCAGTATATAAGCAACAAAAAGTCACAGGGCTCTTTCATCGAAGGCTCGCTCGTTCGCGTACTCAGTGCAGGGAGTTTTAGAGGTGGTCTTTGTCCAATGTCCCGTGGAGAAAAGCTTCTTCTTGGTGAAGCATGGAGATGCCCCGTGGGTTTGTGGCTCTTTTTTCTGCCACACAGACTTGGATCTTGCAGCACTATACCAAGGGGTGGCGAGGAAAATTCATGCAGATCTTTCTGCCTGGCTACTGGCATGTCATCATTCATTCAATGGATATATATATATATATTTAACCAAAAGTCGACAGGACAACCATGGTATTCATCCCCCCAAAAAAAGGGATTTCCCGTATTCAAAAACATCTGAGATTAATGTTGCATCTACAACTGCTCAACGCTCTTGGATTCCCAAAAACGGACTGCTCTACGCGCATATATAAACCGAAAGCCGACCATCAGGTGCTTCCCGTGGTTGTTCTGGCATCCCCTGGCTGCTGCCCAGCTGACACAGGCAGATTTCGAAAGTATGGCTGCAGGTTGATCGGGTTAGCCTCCGAACCTCATGCAGCCGCCGCAACGGATCGTGTTTGTTTGGCAGCTGGCAGGGCGGGTTGGAGGGAAATCAGGTGGTTCGCCAGCATCAAATTGATACGTAAACAGGAAAATGCAACACTCAACGGGTTTGGAGAGCAATATATACCTATATACTGTCTTTGGTCTTTTGGTCTACTGTCCGGTTGACCTACAAATCATGAAGAGGCTTGGTTAAACTTCTTGATCTATGATTTGTGATTCCCATGGATTAACTAGGCCAAAAGCCGCACCAAATCCTACAGAGGAGATCCGCGGGAGGGTGCCGGTGCTGGTTGAACGTTGATTCTGCTTTCACCTTCATGCACTGCAATGGTTCCACACGCTCTCAGCTCGCATGCCTCGCAGAAAAGCTTGGCCCGGCTTTGGAGGCGAAAAGCAGCTTCCCTTGCTACCAGTGGGTGGTGAACTGAACAAAGTCCCCCAAACACTTTCAGGACGAGAGGTAGAAGAGAGGTCGAATAAGGAACAAAACAAACGGGACGGTCTTCACAACGAGAGCCCAAGCCGCTGGTGTCTTCACTTCCAATCGTATAGGTCGCGAAGCCAGAGATCCTTGTATCTTGCCACAAGGGCAAGCGTTGGAATTTGGGACCAACACCCGCCGTTCAAACGTATTATGATACATATTGTATACTGGTCCTGTCCACTTGTATGCAGTGAATTGCAGTGAAAGCTAATCGCTTCGTGAACTTCACACTGGCTTCTCTGAACTCAGTCGAAGTGATTTAGACTCTGACTCACTAGCATGGAAGAGGACCCTCTGTGTAAAGAACAGTAGGCTTCCAAGGGACCAATTTCCATCTCCATGTTAGTCAAAGTGTGCTCTGGAACATGTTACACACTCACTTGGCACAGTGCGCGCCCACGGCCGGCGCGCCGGCGGAAGGCCGTCCGCACTCCAGTCCTGCCCTCTGTGGGGCCCTTCCAGTCTATCCCATGTTAGGACAGTCTCTAGTGTTCAGTGGTCGGACCAAATCATTACACGTCCTAATAGGCCTGCCAGAACAGAAGCCTCTCAAATCCTCAAGACCCCTCAAACGAGTCTGGTCCGAACACCTCACGGCAAAGCCACTCTGTGGTGGACCAATGCCAATACGGCCAAGGTTGATGCCGCGAACATCTAAAGTCTCAAATCCAAAATAAACCGAATAGGCCCTCACACAAGAACGAACCACCCGAACAACAGCCGCTAACGTCTGAGCAGATCCAAAACAACCACCACTAGATGTCGCAGGCACCCACTGGCCTTTCTTCGCCCCCGGCACCGGGAAGACCCCAGCAAACCAACGGTGGCACCAAAATGATAGCTCAAGCCAACTAACTATACAATGCGTGGCAGTTCCAGCACCTTCATCAAGGAGATGCTGCATGAGCTTAAAGCCAAACAATCCAAAGTTCACGGCTAACTCCGAACTCTGTACAACTGCTAGCCAATTGTTTGGAAAACAATCCAAAAATACAGCACCCTCAAGCTCTTCATTCGGCAGGGTGACAGGAGCCATTTCTTCTTGAGCTTCCATCTCACGCACTGACGCTTCATGCTTTTTCCTCAGCTCGTTCCAAGCCGAGGCCACCTCAGTGTGCAACAGTTGCAAGTCGACCATCTTTTGCAGCTCACTGCGCTGATGTGCCACCAATTGCCCCCTAAGCACTCTGACCTGCTCTGCATGCATGGAATGCGCTGCGAAAGCAGCTCGATCTGCCAGATGGTTCCAGTGGGCCAACCATCCCTGCACAGGGTCATCACAAGCAGCCTCTTGCATGTGTCCTGGAATGTGGTGACACCTGAACTTGCCTGTCAGCTGCATCAGCAGGTCAGCACAGCGTAGCCACAGATCAGTGTTCGAGTCAAAAGGAGGGTCATGTATGTGGTCCAGAAGCCTCCACACCCCCGTGGCAGTATATGCACTATCCGTCCAGCATACCACAGCCCCTCCCCATTCCACAGCCCAGGTCAGGGCACTCAGCAAAGCAACCAATTCAGCTCTGTCGCTTGAATGGTGAAAGCCGGGTACTATCCCTGAACTCAGGGTGCATGCATGTGTCGCCGAAACCAACGCCCAGGAAGAGAGAGAGCATTCAGGAAGGTCCGGCGTCAAACAGGAACCATCCACAAACAAATCAACCCAGTCAAAAATGGTTTCAACCTCCTCATACACAAAATGTGGGCACGCAAGTGATCCTAGTGCCCTCTGGTAGGCTTCCCATCTGGGAAACTTTTCTGGCATTAGTCGATGTCTCTGAGCCACCGTGAGCTGGCCCCATTGCGAACGGATGCCCTCATGTCGTTGATGCACCTCAGTCAACATCTTGCAGGTCATGCATCTGTGGTCGAGATCATCAGGCACCTGACAAAAAGGGCAGTCTGGCGTTTTCATGGTGTCAAATTTGGCCTGCTGAACTCCCGTACAGAAGGCACCCTCTTGAAGCGCCGCTATTTGTGCAAAATGTAACCCATGAAGCTTCTTGTGCGCTCTTCGAAGCACGGCTAGATTGATCCTGGTTAGACCGTCAAAGTCCGAGCGGCTCTGCAATTCGGAGGAGATCCAGTCAGTCCAAGCATCTTCCAGCAAATGCATCAATTGTGGCTCCGGGATTAGCAGAAGATCGATTTCCGTGCCCAGATGTGTGCACACCAAGGGAGGATTAATCACCCTCCAGCCAAGCGGCTCAAACACTTCAAGCAGCTTCGAAAAGGGTCCAGCTCTCAGCGTCCCATCAAAGCCTCGATGGTGCTGGTGCCATAGATCTATCACCATGTCTTGTTTTCGAGCCATTCTCCTAAAATCAGTCAGCACCCTGGTTATTTGATAAAAACCTGGATCAGTCTTCATAGGAGCCAGCAAGGAAAGTCGAACTAAAGGCGAAGCACCTGCAGCACCATGCCGAAGAGCTCTGACTGCTGCAGTCCTCAAGGCTTGAATGTGAGATGGCCCAAGCAGGCAAACTGAGATACCATGCAAAGCTCTGGGCCAGAAGGCCTGCTGGAGAGCCATTTGTTTCAATCTATCATCTGCCCCCAACTTACGCAGTCGAATCCACAGCGGGTCAAGAGATGCAATCCTCTCCCTTTGCACCGCAATCCGTCTCTGTGCTGAGTAGCTGTGTTGGGCTCCAAGGTCTCCAGCACTTGTTCGAACTTCAAGACCCATGAGCTGTAGTGCAGCTTTATCAGCCGGTTTAGTGCTCCATGTCCATGACTTTCGGGCATCCATGTCCAGCTTCCACAGGGAGAGAAACTCTTGCAGCACAATATGGCCGTGCTGTAACTGTGCAACACTCTCGCTCAGTATGCCTAAATTGTCAACAAATGACAAAGGAACAGTGGAAGGCGCAAAGTGGCGAAAGTAGAAATGAAAGCTCAGATCTATAATGCCCATGGCATAGCAGCTCAACGCACATCCCTCAGGGACTCCACAAGTGCTCCTATGTGGTGGGCCAATTTCTCCTCGAATCTGGAATCGGCGCTCCATTTTGGTCAAGAAGCTGTCCCATGCCTGCAGAATCTCTTGAGGGGCTCCTGTGTGTTGTGCCAGGCGCATCACGGGAAGTCTGGGTATATTCTCGAAAGCCTTCTGAATGTCAGTGACCAATCCCTGAAGGGCTGATCCTGCAGAGACACACAGCTCCACCAAGCCTTGTATCATGAATGATATCTGCAGAGCCTCTTTTCCTGGCAAGAACCCCAGCTGCGTGTCGGTAGCCAGGGTCGCTAGGTGTGCCAGCAGTGGGCGTGCTCTCGCCGTCGACCAGCTTCTATATGGTGGAGAAGATGATGATCGGGCGAAAATGTGCTGCCTCAGCCGCTGTGACTGTTTTCGCCAGGCACGCCACGAATCCTGTCAACAACTGATCCGGCCACTCTATTCTTTGCTCTTCTATAGCTGTGAGTAACTCCAGCAAGGCCGACTGAAAGCTCTGAGGAGCCAGTTGAAGATCTCTCCCATGAAAGCCGTCAGGGCCTCTGGCGGCCCTGTCATTGTACCTGGTGTTGACGTCATGCCATCCATGGACATCTAGGTGCTTGTACTCCAGGCGACTTTTGGGCATGAAAGCTCGACCAAATGCCAAGATGCGATTCCAGTCACTTTCACTGACAGAAGAATGTTTTTGCCAGCGGGCTGTCCAGAAACTGCCAAGGACCTCCAAAATTGTCGGCACTTGCGAACAAACACTCTGGCACACAATTGATTGGCCTGCCATCAACAAACAATCTGCATCTTTCACTGTGTATACATCAGCCTCCTTTCTCTCGAGCTGGATGGTCGTCATGGAGTCCACCAGCCAAAATTGACTATCACAAGGGCCCTCGCCGATCGCATGCTCCAAATGGATTTCGCTTCCATCCTCTGCCACTGCCAGAATCTCTGTCTCCTCTGTTTGCAGCAGAGTATCAAGATATTCTTTTTCACGCAAGCGAACCTTTTTGAAAACAAGCTCACGCTGTGCGGTCAATTGGGCTCTCGAAATTTCTTGCTGTCGACGAAGCTGCCAGCTTTCCAACTTGCGAAAGTTACTGGTGAAGTCAACGAGCAACTGCTGTGCAACCATCAGAGAGGGTACACCAGTGGGCAATTCACCCGGAAGCCCTTGATGTTGCACTGGGCGAGTGCGCCACCAGTTCACAAAACCACCGTGGAAGCCTGCAGCTCTCACAATGGCTGCCCAGGTCTCCACACGATGAGCTTGTGCAGAAGCTGTCATTGTGCCTCGTTGCAGGCTTTGCACCAATGCTTGCAACCGGCGTGCCTGCCGGTACCAGAGTTGAACACCTCTGCAGGCAAAGTCTGACACAAGGCGAAGATCACCTTCACGTGCAGGTCTGCACATAGGCAACTGAGACTGCTGCTGGATTGGCTTCTTCATCCTCCCCCGACCTCTGGCACCCGGCGGCAATCCTCCTCCTGGAAGGTCAACATATCCAGCCAAGCTCTGTTCATAGGCATTCGCCCATTGCTGAAACCATTGGTTGCCTGTTCTTTTGGCAGAGGACAAAATGACTGGTTTTGCACAATGTCGCTGCCATTCATCAACCTGCACTTTGCTCCAGTCAATGGTTTGAGGCTGAGGCCAGATCCACCGCGGGACTGACTCCTGTCCTAGTCGAAAGGCTCCCCAAACAACTGAGTGATCAGGAAACAGATTCTCCACTGAAGCTGAGACAAAGAGTGCAGCGAGTTCCGGGCTCACAAAGACCATGTCCCTTCTGGTCTTACCTTTGCAGGTAGGTTGTATCGGCTCATTGTGCCGAGCCAAATGAAGCTCCTGAACTTCTGCCCAACCCATTGATCTCCAGAGTGCTATAGCTTCCAGGCTCTCATCTGGGTGATTAAAATCTCCCATGATAAATCTACACCCACTTCGTCGCGTCACCAGGTGATCAGTCAGATGGAGCAGCATTTTGTTGGTGTGGGATTTGGCCTGCGGCCAAGTAGGCCCAGGACTCCACCCATAGATCATGGCACCAGTTATGCCCTGGCTGTCTTGTCTGTGGCCTCCCAGCCAATGTTGACCAAGCATGACGCGTCCTGCTTCATACTGGCCCCCAGGCC